TCCAATTCCTCTTCAACGGCCAGCTATACAGGCAAATAGACGGGGTGGCAATGGGTTCACCGCTTGGACCGTTTCTCGCAAATGTCTTCATGGGCAAGGTCGAGCAAACGAGTCTCAAAGATACCATTAATGACCTCAAATTCTACGGTCGATATGTGGACGATATCTTTTGCCTTACGAGTCATACCACCGATATCAATGGCCTAGTTCAGAAGTTTAACGGTGCGCACCCATCTCTGATGTTTACCGCAGAGACCGAGGCGAATAACGAGATCGCATTCCTCGATGTCCTTCTACACAGACAAGAGGATGGATCCATCCAACGCAAGATATTCAGAAAGAAAACCTGGACGGGACAATACATTAATTTTCACAGTTTTGTCCCCTTAAATCTAAAACGAAATTTAGTCCAGGGACTGGCGGCTAGAGTGAGACGCATCTGCTCTCCTGAAACTGTTGAGGCAGAACTCCAGCAGCTGCAAAACACGCTCCGCGAAAACGGCTATCCAGAGCGATTCATCCTCCGGAATATTAGAGAGCGGGCCACAAAACCGGCCGTTGCAACTGCGGAAAAGAAAGACTTATTTCTAAGACTGCCTTTTCTAGGAGACGCAGCAAGCGAATTAGTGAGACGACGACTCAGGACAGCTCTCGCGAGTGCCTTCCCCGCGGCGAACTTGCGCGTATTCTTCGCGAATTCCCCCCTACTACGGTTGGGGGGCAAAGACCGACTGCCGTTACAGGCCACATCCATGTGTATTTATTCATTCACCTGCTCCTGTGGAGCGGGATATATTGGCCGTACAACCAGGCGTCTGGAAAAGAGAATACGCGAACACATGCCTGCCTGGCTAGGTAGAGGTGAACATCGATCGATTTCGAGTTCAATTCTCGCACATCTAATCGATACGAACCATCAAACCGACGCTAAAGAAGCGTTTAAAGTTATCTACCGGGCACCGGCACACTACTCTAAAGGCCTGCGCAAACGGGTGCTAGCCACAGCCGAAGCAGTGGCCATTCGACTGACGAACCCAGCACTCTGTTGTCAGAAGACGCTGACACAAGCAGTCTGTCTGCCCTGGCCGACTCCAGACAAGGATCGCACGCCGTCCCGATACACTGAGAGCAGTTGCACGCACTCACAGCGCCTACAATCTAACCGGAACCCCTCTACTTCCCCCCCTCCCACTCCAACTCCTTCTCCCTCCCCTCCCACCCCAACTCCATCGTCCTCAACACGCTGACGCCGTCATGCGGGCGGCGTGGGAACATGGAGTTCGATTAACCCCGCTCCCGAGACGCATTTATACCCTGTCGACAATTAGATTGATCATTTCCCTTGTAATTGTACAGGCCTGATGAGGAATTACCGAAAGCATATGCTAGCCAATTGACTTTTCAATCGTAATATGGGCATTTTCGCAGAATTAAAACAAGGTAGCTGATAACCCACTGAGAATATGGATGAGTGACATCAAAGGTACTCAGTTGTTTGGATCCAGGCCAAGATCATAGTAAAAGTGTCCGGAACAGGCTTTCGGCTGTGTCAGCAGCAGGAGACCTCACAACTTGGGTGGCAACAACCTTACTGGTTGGAATTGCTGCCAACTGTGCGAGTAATAAGCAGAAAAAGATCACGAGACGGCAACAACCAGTGGTGGGCGAGTAATCACTGACCTCCGAAGCTACCGACTTTTAAAAGGGCGGCTTGGTTTCATGAGATGGGAACTGTTGGTTCACATGTCCGACCGGTGTGAAGTTCGAGCCCAGGGAAAATGAGGGCATCATTATATGATTCACTCTTTATAACGGTTGGTCGCCCTTCGCGTGCCAATGCTAGACGATGATGGTCGAGTCTCTTCAGAAAAATGGAAAAGCACCTCAGTGCTGGATTGTATGAGATCTGGAGGGGGGTAATTCAAACAAGTCGAGGCCCTCACGCATACACACTCCTCTTTAATGCTCAAATGATAAATTCGTCCGGGATCCCTAAATTAGATAGGAAGAGAATAAAACCCCATTAGAAAGTTCTCCCAGATCCAGGAGATCCGACGCTATAGACTTGAGTAACAAACAAGATTCAGGTGTCCGCAATAGTAGACCAAACTACCCGAAACACCGCTGCGGTGAAAAATACATGCACGCTATTACAAAAGCATGTGCCATAAATATGGGCCACGCCCTAGCTTATGGAACCGTTGGACCTTGCTACATAGTTATGCGAAGCAGGCAAAACTTCAGTCCACTTTCTCTTACGTGGCCTAGCTTGGGTAGCAGTACAAACGGCAGATTAACCATCTGCACAAACACCGGCGAACAGGAAAAAGTAAGACTCGTCATGCGGCGCATGTTCAGCATGACGAAAGTCCGAAATTATGAGGGTGTTCGGCTATGCTGATACACAGCACGATAAAACTGCTAGCTCAAAATGACAGGACATCGGTGGTGATGCCACGCGCGCGTTTAACTCTCTCATTGAAAGAACTATCTGAGGCGATGACCCTTCAGTGGATCGCAAAAGAGTGAAATCCCCGATAGGTGATGATGTTCCACGGTTGAGAGCTGGTTCGTCAGCCTTACTTGGACGACTGTTTAGTCGCTGAATGCATTTATTCCACAGATGCGAATTTTCTGCACAGCAAATGAGGA